TATCGTTCGTTGACAACACATACTGTTAATGCTACAACTGAAGTACAAAGAATGGGACATACGTATGAAAAAGTTATTAAATCCCCGATTGATGAAACATTCACAACTTTGGCTATCGTTTTATTATATTTTGCACATTGTCTAAAATTTTGCTATAAATGTATTACTAAGATATAGTTAGCAGTGTAGTTGTTCTTTTGTGTGAGGACACTATTTAAAATGAAATAAATAAAAAGCACGATTAAAAAATTACCAAAACTATAACAGAGTTCAAAGTTGAACCGTTTAATTTAGTTAATCTGTCAAATTCGAGTGACTTTATTTGGTAAACGTATTTCTGATTACATCAACTATCAAGTCAAATAACTAAATTTTGTCAGAAGGTTTATTTAGCTCACCTCGATTGACGGGTCCGGTACCTCGTACACCGGTATCTCATACACCTCCTCGTTTGGTTCTGTCATCTGCTTGAATCGCTTGAATGAAGCCCCTTCGGGAATAACTTGAATCGAGCAGGCGTTTAGTACAATCAACATTTTTTTCCTGAAAACTCACACATTATCAGTTATGATACTGTGTAACAATGAAAACACTTACGGCTAAATGTCGTCAGCTGGCCATCGTTAGGTATTTGACATTTAAAATCAGAACGGAAAGAACTTTTTATACAGGGTGATTTTACTTTACATTATTATTTCCCCAACACCGATTTTACGGATTCGTTAAGTTGGCTGCATCCAAACTGATCTGAGGTCAGAGGGTAGCTTTGGAACACCCAAACTGATCCCGAGATAGATGGGAAATACTGATCAATTCTGATGTTACAAGAAATCCATGTTATTATCTATCTGCCAGACCCCAGGATTAGTTTGGATGTACCAAAACTACCCTCTGACCGTGGATTAGTTTGGACGCAACCAACTTTAATTTATTCAATCAATGAACTTCAGTGGTGAGTGAATCAATCTTTTCAAGAACTGCAGTTAACGCATAAAATGTAGTAAATACATTCATTGGTATCCATTAAATCTGATTGAAACTTAACTTAATCTGATTGAGACTTAATGGATATCGCGTTCATATCTTGTAGACTATGCTCTTGATGACTTAGCATTTCAAAATTAACACTCAATCTCAATTCAAATTTATAGAATTATTTAGAATAAATATTGCAATCTTTACTCACCAGTTATTTTTTGTGCAGGTTCCGAAATGCTTTCTTATGTATTGTTCCGGGTATCTTGTGATTACAGGAGCGGGTGCTTTCTCTGTTGTAGGCTTGTCTTTGGACGTCGAAGCCATTTCCTTGAACATGAAATTTGGTTCTTAAAGGGAAATAACAAATGACCAGTTCTTGTTTTTATTTTAACAATGCGAGTGTTTTCCAAAAATATTATCTGGCAGAATAGAATATTATCTAACAGAACAGAATATCTAACAGAATTATATATCCCTTGGAGATTTTTTAAAACAACGATATATCGTTTCATAGCATCCAAAATATTATCTAAGAGAATGAGTTGTTCGCCACATTACAATGTTTTCATATACTTTCCATTCTTGACTTTAGTCCGAAAAATAGCTGGTTGTCACCTGCTCAATCAAACGTACTGCTTCCATTACGTACTGTACTGGACATTAAATGTTCATTAGCCTACGTATATTAGGTATATTATTTGATATTACTACGTTTCTAGTCCTGAAAATATGTGTTTACCGTACAAGTGTGGTCGTTCCCGTACGAGACAAAGTTGAGAGTAAAACAGTGTAGTGTGGTGTAATAAGTTTTTACCAAACACCAGCTGATTATAAATGGCAACAGGTCAACTAATCAATAAACGAAAACATAACCTCACTTACAAGTTATGAGTAGTAATGTTAAGTCTTTGAGAATATATTACGGAATGGAACAGTTTTATTTTTTTTTCTAGGTTAGTTGGAATAGTATTGCGAAAAATATCGTACGTTACTCGTCCAAAATGTGTTTACCGGAATCAACTTCATCTAGTGCAGGAACGACCACATTCTGCCGGTAAACACATATTTTCCGTCCTAGTAACGTAAAATAGTCCAACTATCACTAATTAGTTTATGTTACCTTTCCTTAGTCACAACCACCCACGTGATCCCAAACAAGGTTACCAAGTGGGATTAGACAAGTAAAAACGTCCACTTGTGTTTAAATGTCACATTTATTTATAATGTAACATTGATACACGTACCTCACTATCCTCAATGTCCAAAGACCAATCATCTAAATAGACTTGATTCGTCATAGTGCAAGTAGTTTGGGTACCTCGAGAGGTCCTTCCTCTATTACTGCTACCCTCTATGTCCGTAGACCAATCATCTAAATAGACCTGTTTCTCCATGGTGCGTGGAAGTAAGAGAGATCGTTACTCTAAGACTGCTCAAAACAGACTGATGATGCTTGCCTGTGCGACCCCGTATTTATAGGTTCCGCAGATATCTCACCCTGATTTTGGGCTCTGGTTTCAAATTAAGGTGACTCCCTATCCCGCTCATGTATTTCTCCCTCACCTTTTGTTTTGGCGTGGACTTTTAAACAAGGTGAGGCCACCTTATTTTTGTGGTCAGGCTTGTAATTCATGGTGGTCTCACCTTAGCACAGAGTCCACGCCTAACCCTACGTAAAGAAGAGATATGTGGGAAGTTACAAAACTTCACATCGCATTGACCCAAGACGGATACATCCACTGTGGTTTAAGATTTATATGCAAATTTTGGGAAATTTCCCTAGTTAGTTTAAGACATTATTACTCATGATAGAATGAATTGTGAAATTAAGTTTACATAAACAATATTTTGTATGACTCATAAGCATTTTGTACTTATACGCCAACCCCGTACGAATAACGGGTACTCCACTAGTTAGTAATATTTGAGTTGCTGTCATGCCAGCTTTGTTTATGAAAAATAGTGTAAGGTACTAATTTTAGTGAGATTGCACAGCAGCACACACAAGTATTCTCAATATATGATTTTACTTGATCGTCCCTGACCTCATATTGTCCAACTTTAGTAATTGTACCAGTTGTATTTGAGGTCTTCTGGAATTTTTGCTTATGTTTTGGCGTCACCTGATGACTATCATAAAGAAGAATGTCACGAAATTCTTATTCCCATTCAATCTGCCGACAGTACAGATTTTCAGAAACATATTTCGCTGGCAAGTTTCTCCGATTGTGTTTTGGGGGTAAAACAGGGTTGTAAATCTTCAGTGCTAAAGGGGGAAGGCGTTCAAAAGCAGGCCTGTGGCTAGCGGTTTTGAAATCTAGTAGAGATATGTAGGGGCTGGCGTTTCCTGGTATTGTGGAACGCACTAATCGGATTAAGTCATTGTCCTAGTTTCAACGCCTGTACCTGGACCAAGCAAACATTGAGCCCCACAACGGATCACAAGACAGGACCACTTCTTGGTGGTTTTGGTGGTTTCAAGTATTACTTTGGCAAAATATATTGTTGGTGAATTATATTTTGTTTCTGGGAAGTTACCCTTTAGTTTTCATGCGATAGTATTTATATGTTGCATCACTAGCTTTGCAGCATCATGAAACGGTTGTTGTCACCTGCTATTTTACGTAAAACCCTTTCTGCCAATGTGCTTTGTCTTAAATATATTACCGGTTTCATATTGTGTATTTATTCGTGACGATGTGTAGGTATCTATCAATGACTCCTCTTGCAGCCAAACAAAAATATAAACTCTTTTTTACCTTTCGCCTTCCGTATTTTTGAATGTGTGTATATTGAATACACCTGTGCCTTATTTTGAGTGTAACATCCAATCTTTTGATATCACTACTCACATATCGTCTGTTTGTGCAAAGAGGCCAAATCAATGTGGTAGAAGTACGCCACAGGTTGAGCCAATCGTCCATGTATAGAAACATTGCTGCTACTTGAAACACAAACACTCCTGCTAACTTGTTGCCTCTCTTTCCTTCTGAACAAAACTACTTCAGACATCATTCTTCTCCCGTCCCCCTCCCCCCATCACATGTTTTATGGTGTTCTAGATTCAGGAAAATATATTTAAAAAGTACACTTAAGTAAGATTGCACTTTGCAGTTCATTATGACTTTATAAATTCTGTATGTTTTACAATTTTCATTGACTTTAATTATCTATGGACACTTTAACTTACAGTTTGCATACTAAAACGAATTGCAGTTTATTTATTCAACATTATTTTTGGTGGGGAGAAGGTACTGATTCAATAGTTATTTGTGTAACTAGTGTGCGTAGTGGCACTTTGCTGCACACGAGGCGGCCGTGTGGAAAGTTTCTCGAATGCAGCAAAGGCAATTTGCACTTGTGTTACACATTATATTTTTCAAACAGTTATCATAAAACATAGTCTTTCAAACACTAAACAAGGTTAGGTTAAATCCAAGCGTTGAATAAAATGGGAAACACTGTAACAACTGATCGTTGTCGTTGTGTTGCCAACTTACTTTCAAGCGAACACACGTGTATACGTGTCTAATAAAAGCACGCTGTTTTCTGTTGTTTGGTTGGAACACTGGAGTGCGGCGAAAAAGATAGTGCGACAAAAGTAAAAAGAGTGCGGTAAAAGTAAGTAAATGTAGCAATTAGCAACTGTCTGTACTATAATCAGTGCAATGAAGCCCACTTTCTCAGGTGATGGCAGGGGAAAAACTGTTATTAACTTTATTAACACACCTTTTGTCAATAAAGTGGAAATCGTCAATAATATAACGATATTTTGGTTTCGTGCATATTTTCACTGTTTGTGCTCCTGGAATGATGTTGTAAATATGAAAAAAAAAACGGCTGAAATGAATGATAACGGAAATCAGAGATTCTACGCAATTAATAATTGTATCATCCTCTTTTTACCATAGACTGGTTCTAGATACTCATACAAAGTACTGTACATACAAAGCAGCCTACAAAGTACTGTTCCTATCTTTTAAAACATATGTGAAAACAAACATCAAAACAAAATATTGACATGTTTATTCAAAAAAGTGTAAATGTATACTCATTTAGTTTGAAACATGAGTGCACTTTATATGTGCATTACTAATGACCTCAATTTGCAAATGTATAACATGTTGTTGTGTTAAGTGGGCTCAGTTTTGTCGATGCGTATTTCACTATTATTTTTTCAACTTGTTCGGATTTGCTTTCTTCAGTTGCTGCTGTTATGCAAGTATTCATTATCTTACTACTCAGTTTAAACGTACAATTCGATAAATAAAGCACGCCTGATGCGATTGGTAATTTGTACAAGCTTGAGTGATTCATGATTCAATATTTGTAAATTGAGTAAATTTAATCCTTAGGCTACCATAGGTGTATTCTATAGAATACGGATTTTTTCGATTCCAAATTATATTAATTAAATCATAGGCTTATTTGAGTATATTAAAAATTGGAATAAACAATGACATGTCTTCATTTGTACATATTTTAAAACAATTTCATTAACATAAGTAAATGCAAGGCCTACCTTACGATCCAATTTATTTCATAGTGGAGACCTAGGTTTCTACGTCGAAACGTTATCGTCAGTCCTTTGTCTCATAGGTTAGCTAAGGCTTTTGTTTGCCATTTTTTCCTTGAAACATTGTCGATTTAGTATAATTTGTAACATTGAACACATATGAATATTTCAAAGACATAAATGAAAACAACTTAGATACATGGCCATGATCTTCTTAATCAATCCTCCATTTATTTAATTAAATTTTACTTCAATAAATTTTACAATAAACTAAATGAAGTGGGTGGTTTCATTGTCAATATCTAATTTCTAAGTGGTATGTCCAAAATTAAATATTGATCAATGCAATACAAGATACACCAAAGTCTCAAATCTGACAATCATTGGACCATGATATGGTGTGCTTTTAATACTCACTATTAAAAGACATATTCTCATGATTTAATTGGCTTGGGATAATGCGTAGTTTTATATTTTGGTACAGTATGATAGACCCTATTAGAAGTTGAAGATCTGAACAAAATTATCGCAATTTAAGAGAGTTTACTGGTCACAAAATTAAGTTGAAACACAGCATGTGATATTTGTCACTTTTGGAACGTTGCCAGCTCACACTTCAATTTCTTAAGTTCCAAAAGGGACTAATGTTAAGGGTTAAAGGAACGTTTTTTAACAGAATCGTTTGGTATACAAGAAATATTATAGTTACCGTACACTTTTTGCAGTATAACTCTTGGTAATCTTTTTTCTCTACGAATAGTGTTTTAAATTATTCATACGCTTGCTAAGCAGGATTTATCTCTGAAGCTAGGTGAAGCTGAGGCGGAACTCGGAGTGCGGAGTCCGCTCTCCTCTTGTATTTGGTAATTTAGTGGTACTTTTTTCCTAGAAGCGAATCAGACCTTCACTATAATCACTTAAACCAAAATTTTTCCCCCTGTTGGTTGATAGATATGCTCACAGACACTCAAAATATAATTTAGATATTTTAACTAGAATACTTTAAAAAAGTAAATTTTTATTTTTCTATTTGTTGTTGCAGCTGCTCGGGATGGCTGCCATGCTTCTCATCCTCTACTTGTATTACTCCACCGTTTATCCCGGAGCTTCACTACCAGACACTTTACCTGTGGTGAGTGTTGAGGAATTATTTTCACCTGGTTTAATAACTGATCCGCGGTTGGTAGCGTTGTTAGATCACCCCTAACATTAAAGCCGAAAATGTTTATTCGTGCTCCTTATGTCATAAGATGAATGCTATTTTCAAATAATAAGTCAAAATGATAAAAGTGTTCCTATAAACATTCACCTAGCGGAATGTAGAGGGGGGAATTGCGCCATATCAGGGGTATTAGTGCCTCTGCACGCTGGTGCTCTACGAATTAATTTGTACTATTAGGTAATATCACTTAAATAACATATTATTCATATCAAAATTCTTTAAAACCATGCAAGACAAATCGTTTATCATCCTTCTAGCCTCACGCTTCACGTTGGTCTTTCTTTGTTTCAGTACGATTATGGACAAGATTATTCAATGTATAAACGGGAAGCTGAATATCCGACGGAAGGATACTATGGCAACGTTGAGGGTGAAGAATACTACGGTGACGCTAAACTACTTGGTAAGAACAATCTATATAAAATCCAATGTATGTTTATTTGTATGTTTGTTTGTATGAATGTATGTTTGTTTGTCCTTTATGGACTCCGAAACCGCTCGACAGATTGTAATGAAACTTTCAGGTATTATTAAGCATTATTCAAGGATGGTTTGTGTGAAGTTTGGTGCAGATCCGTCAAAAGGGCTCCGCCCCAGTGGCTCTGGAGTTGCCCATGTTAACCTTATGAGTACTCATTTTTAAATGGAATTAAAGATTCTTAACAGCTGGTTCAACTAAAGAATTTAATTCTATGATGTTCAATAGCATTAAAAAGTTAATAGGTTTACCAACAGGGTGCAGCACTATTATTTTTTTCAATTTATGACAACAGCTAATTTGCAACCAAAAGGTGAGTGAGCGTAGCGAACGAACTTCAACCTGGAGGGGAGTTAGCGTATCGAACGAGCTAACCTGAAGGCAAGTGAGCGCAGCGAACGATCTCCAACCTAAAGGTGAGTGAGCGTAGCAAACGAACTTCAACCAAGACGTGATTGAGCCATGCGAACGAGTTCATCTTGAAAATGAACGAGCATTTGACATAAAACCACATTAGGACAGGACGACGTCTCTAGGGCCAGCTAGTTTGTCTATAAAAAGTGGAACCTCAACAACAAGACCGGAATAAAACATGATCCTTGATATCAAGTATCAATTATACATTCATATGTATATATGTATATATTCATGATTTTATATGAACTTTAAATAAATATTTATTACAAACCTTGATAAAATACCAACCTTTATAACATGTCTTATTTCATGATCCCCATGAGAGTGTTATTATCAAAGTTCTTCACTGTAAAAGTGTTTTATTCTTTGCAACCTTTAGAAATGCGCAACGTTTGAAATTGAGTTGTATTGATTTTTTGATAGAACATTTAAGCTCAAACAACGGCTACATGGTAGCACAAAGAACAAATACAGTAATAAAGATTGTAGCTACAATATATTGAAGTATGGTAATGAGTATAATTGAGCGGAGCGAGCGAAGCTCTTATACTACACTCCTGCTTTTGTTTTACAAATACTCCTCCTGAACGGCTGAAGCGATCTTCACGAAATTTTACACAGTCATAGTACCCAACCATGGGAAGGTATAAATCTGAAATGGTACAAATCGGACCATAGGAATTTTCCCTACATGAATGCAAACTTTTAGAAATTTAACATGGGCCTGATGGGTTAATTGGTTGCCATGACATATTTGCGAGTCAACACTAAAAAGTAAACAAGAGCCTCGACATATGTTAGTCAACAAATCTACCACATTATAAATACAGTACAAAAGAAAAATATGTGATGAATACTAAAGAGTATATTAGTTAATTGCATGTAATACGAATTGATTAACAATCAGTTCTATATTGAGTGATTAAAATCATGACGTTTATATTTAATTGTATAATCGTTATGTTCTTTTTAACAAGTTAAGTTGGAAAAATATATAGGTTCCGGCTACTAGGAAAAATAAAATTTCAAGTTAAGCAAAATGCTTATTTTGATGTTATTATAAAAGTAATGAAACGTACCAGTAAACCAATTCCTAAAGTTTTCACTTATTCTTTTTAGTCTACATTATAGTCGTATTGATAAATTTTACTGCACCAAAGGGAAAATTTGAAAGTGGTTGACAATATATTTCTTACTTTTAACTGCTAAAATAAAACTAGACCTAAGTTATATGTCTATACTTAAAAACGAATTGATAATTTTAAAAATCGATTAGCCTATCTCAATTATTCGCTGTTAGGAAATGATTACCACAAAAAGTTAATGTATTTATAAAATACCCCCGCCGCAGCAAACCTGCAGACTAAGCGAATTTCCATTTGACTGATTGGATTTACACTGAAATGTCTACTTAAAAATATAGCATTTATTCCCGATTTAAATAGAATTAGTTTAACAAGTACTTAGGTTTGCTGCATCAGGGAGGGTAAAACTGTTTTTTTTGTAAAATGTTAATAGTTAGTAAGAAATAAAAAAAATTTCCAAATTTGATCAAAATATGTTCATAAACAAGCAAACTACAACAGTTTACTCATTCTCCATAAGAATAACATGGGAATTTTAAATTTACAATTTTTTGGAATTTTCTCCGTAACCATTAGGCGCATAATAACGCTTCAATATACTAAATTATTTGTTTTTTTAAGCTCTACAAAATGGTTTGGAAATAAATTGCTAAATTTTATGTTTTTTGGGTCAAAAATGGGAAAAACCTATTTTTACCCCATAAAACCCCCCGTAAACACCCGTTCCCATGGTCCGATCATGCTGGATCGCGAACTCGTTCGAATAAACATAGGTTTACACGTTTGTACCAAATTTCATCAAAATCGGATCATTTTTGCTCGAGTTATCGTGCTGACGGACACATATATATATATATATATATACTTTTGTGCCCACCCGGTTTGGCAGTCAGTGCGCTGGTAATTTACTCGGTGTGGCAGTCACTCGCCCGAAAGCCAGTCAGCTCTCCCATAAGCCAGTCAGGTATGGCTTCCCGTGCACTTTATACGTATGACAACAGCAAACCGGTGCTGCTGCCTGTGTCGATAAGCGTAACTGCAATACCAATGCGGAGACTGTCTCATCGTGTGTTCTATCGTGGAGTAGTGTAGCCAGTACGGCACCCTACCCTACTTTGTAGCGGTAAAACCCAGCGGTCTGTAACCTTCGTTTACTCCTTGTTACTATTTGTGTTGGGATAGTGATTAACTACGTGTTAATGTTTAAACATGTTCATACTCCAAATAAATATGATGCACCTCTAATAAGGATCGTCGAATATTAATTAATTATAATTGGTTGAATCTTGATCCTACCCGTTCATCATCTCATATTTTAAGTTATTTTGATTTTTTTTACCTTCAGTTGAAATTTTAGTCAACTTCTCCTTTATACAATATTTTTTATCCTAGTATTTACAGTGTTTCCACGGACCGGGAACTATACGGATTTTCTTTATCTCGAGAAATATACGTGAATCTTGTCCGAGATACTGGAACTGTTTTTTACGCAATTGCGTAACGTGAAGGAGTAACTATTACATATGACAACGATATTATTCTATCTGATAAGAATAACCATGAAACTACACTCGAAAGATAAAATATTTTTATAATAATTTCAATTTTACAAACAAACTATTACAGGAATTATATTTTGGGACGGATGAATGATAAGGAAGCAACAAAAAGTGGTCACGAGTGCAAATACGGTGGGGGGGGGGAGAGGGGTACAATATAACGAACGCCAGAAACGATTATTTGTTTACTTTTCAGATTCCTTATCAAATCTCTCTCTCTATCTCTCTCTCTCTCGCTCTCTAACAATGTACAGATTGTGGACTTTACTATTTAAGTTTTCCTGCAATTATTTCAGTTCAATCCCATACCTATCCTTATGGTTTCCTATCTATTATTTTTCAAAATAAATAGTAAAGCAGGTTAAACTATTTTTTTTTTTTTTTCTTGAAACCAAACACTCTTTACCATCCGGTATTCTGCAGAGTCAAATGGTTAACACTGTGTTTATAAAAATTGAATGGCCACACAATTTTGTGTTTTATTTTTTTTTACTAATAGTAACTGGGATATTTATATATACCAATAAGTGCTGCAAGCTGTAATAAATGCTGCTGATTAATATCAAAATAAGTTATAATTTATTTTGTATAATACATCGGTCATTGAATACAAACCATATAATGGGTTTTCTATTTGTAACTTTAACTTGCAAATACAGTAGAACCTCGCTTAACTGGAGTCGCATCATCATGATGCCTATATATTATATAACCGCACAAATCCCAAGAAAATGTTTTATTAACTGTGTTTTTCAGTCTTATATTTCGATATGAACGATATATTTAACTATTTACGGTAATTTTTATGTGCAGTAGGTTCCCAATTATTGAAATATTACAGTTCATTTAACAAAAATAAGATGGAAGCAAAACGGAGAAATATCGATCAGTATCGTCAAGGTCAACCTATACGCTCGCACCTACAGACTGACAATCTTGCACTGACACTGACATACTGACAATCGTCTGCTTCTGTCTGCTGTCACAACACTACAATATTTTGTGGTTGGGTCGTTGGGTGATTAGTAACCATGACAACTTGTGGATGTAGAGAAACCAAAGAAAGAATAGAACAAAGAGAAATAATAAGAGGTGTTTTACATCATTTTTATCTTATTTTTATCATTGTTATTATTACCAGAAAGACTTGAGTACAGTACTATGATTTTATGGTGTTTTATGAGTTATTTAATATTTTTATCCCCATACTTCTGTTCTGAAACATCATGTAGTAGTAGCCTAGGATGACTACGGTATCAGTAGTCTTCTAGTCTACATTTTCATTTTGTTTTGTTCTTTACGTGATTTATTGCTGTACAGTAAGCAAGTTTTGTTTTGTTTGAGTAAGCATACGGTGTAGTTTTTATTAGTAAACCAAGGTTAATGACTTAACATATCACGGTTGCGCAATACCTATTGTATTTTGACTATGTAAAATGCAAATTTATAATCACGTTAACGTCCATTTATATAGTGTCCCGGAACGGCATTGTTCCTGAGTAAGAAACATATAAATATCATATTTAAACTATCCAGAAGTCCTTAGTTACTCACACGGGGAAAAAAGTTTTAGGCCTAAATCATTTGAAACCTGTACATTACATATTTTTGGTCGAGTTTTCGACCACTGGACGACCACTAGTTAAAGTTAATTGTATTACAACAATCTTTATAGTAAGCAATATAAGCTTGAATCGGACTTATCTGCCTTCAGCTAATCCATCATATGATAGTACGTTAGAGAGTATGCCCATGCTGAAGTTTTACTTATACTTGAAGAATGACTTAATTTAGTACCAAGAAATAAATAACACCCCTTACATACACTGTGCTGTTTTAATGCTGTGTATTTGATTGCTACTGT